GAAATCTTTTCCTGGATATCTGGGCTGTTATTAAATAGCTGTTATTAAATTGAAAAAAATGGAAAAATTGAAGATTGTATTTATTATGAGAAATTTCCTGGTCTCATCTGACCAGACTCTTGATTAATGTGTCCCCCACCTGATTTGGGACATACAGTGTTTTAAGCAGGAGATCTTAACAGAACAGTTGTTTGATATTGATCACATTCTGTTTTTTCTACAGGTACCACTGTGCACTACTTTCGGTTGCTCCCTCACAGGAAATCCTTATGAACTTAATTTAAATCTGTAGTTGTCAATGGAAAAAATGATACAGATATAATTTGTTTAAATGCTTTAAAGACTGCTCAATTTTAAGCATTACATAGAATACTGATAGCTGTTATATAGGATGAATGTCCTTTTTAAATGTATTAATTCTGATGACTTCAACTGTTAATGAACGTCCGAATACAAAGTAATGAACCAGGAACCAACAAGTGTCTTGCTGGTAAGCGATCAGGTCAGCATTCACAAATGAACATTTAAAATCCTTGCTAAAATCTTAATTTTTGTTATCTCCGAAATCAGGAAGCTTTTTTTTTTCTGAATACCCTTAAATTTTTCAAATACGAACTATAGAAATCTATTCGGTAGCCATGGATTATTGTTGATTTTGCTTTCATAAAGACATGTAAACTCCTCTCAGAAATGTCAATGAATAAATAACTGAGACTTTCTCTGTTTCAGCTACCAAACTATAGACTTTGCGTGAGCCCAGACTGGAAATTTAGACACCACTAAAATAATTAACCAGGTCTTGTGATTGTGTGGTTGCACAGTGCAGTAGGGCGCTTCACTGTAATGACAACATTTGGTGTTCAGCTTTTACTACATGTAGGAGCTTGCTTTTTAAGAAACAATCTTTTTCTGCGTTTAATGTATATTTAAAGCCAAAATTTCACGGTGAATGCATCAACAACAGCTAAAAAGACTAGCTTTAAACCTAGCTATCTAACAAAAGAAGATTAGGTCTGGAACTAAAAATCTTTCAGTTCAGATAAAAAATATCTAACAGTATCCACAAAAAAAGGGGGTAAAATCACTATAGGTAAACTTCCCCTGACTTTGGCAGATCTGGATATGTGTTGGTGGCAGACAGGTGTATCACCAACAGTCCATGGAGTGATGAGTTTGGTGAAGTGGCAAGTTTAAATCAAAGAATATGGACACGAGAGCACTTTCTCTCTCGCATGCGGCAAAAAAGAAGGGAAAAAAAGGAAACTCTCTGGGGTATTCTCCAAGGCACATCCTTCAAAAACCCCTCTCAGATGCTACAGTAGACCTCCCTCAGAAATAGTCCCTGCATAAATCTCTGATCTTCCTGTCTAAGAAATAATTAGGCAGGAGAATGAAAGAGCAAGGAGGTGGTAAACTGCTCCAGGCTAACCTGAAGGGAGACTTCACATAGCATCTGCTTGGTGGGCTACGTGCCATGCTTTGTGAAAGACTGGAGAGGAAGATACGCAGCCACTATAAGCATGTTTCTCAAAGTGCGATTAAAGAGGAGGTAGATAGTGATGTTGTGAAGGGGTTGACAGATTTAATAAACTGGATCGGGGATAAAACTAATAGTTCTGAAATGACACGTAGAAATCTAATTAAAAGCGTTGGATTTTATAGGATTTAAATTGTCTCTGTAACAGGTTTATTTATTTTTTTAGTGCCTACAAAAAGTGTTATTACAAAACAGAAAATGTTTAATTGAGTTTTTGATATTGATCACCACATAATATAACTTGGTTGTAGACCTGAAGGAAGCACATACTTGAAATTCCATTTTTCAATCAATAAAAGCACTAAAAATGAATCACTTGATATGTATTTAGCACCCTTATCTATGATAACACTTATAGAAAATCCAGTGCAAACAATTATATTCAAAACTCAACTGTCTACCTGTTCTTAATTTAATCAAATTGGTCCTTCACTCCCCAAGTGGGCTTCAATGGTATGTGGCAGGAAAGCAGCTTGCATTGAAAAAAAAGCCATCAAAAGTCATGTTGGCTGTTTTTAACAAGCGATATATGAGACACGGGATACATGTGGAAGAAGGTGCTCTGATCAGACGGAAATCAAAATGGAAGTTTTTAGACAATATGCATGTACAATTTATGCACCGGTAATCTAACCCTGCAGTTTGTCCTGGAACCATTAAGAGTGTCCTGATCCGACATTGGAAATCAGTCCGTTATCAACCAGGAATAAATATCATGATATAAAACCCTGCATCTGAACTCTTCAACATCAGCAAGATGATAGAAACAGCTTCTATTTAAAATTTATTGAAACCACTGGTGAATGATAAATGGGTCGGCTGTTCTCATTCCTATTATTGTTTCCTAATTGAGTAATAATCACTTGATCCTGGCTTTTTTAAAAATTTAATGCTACGTTCAAACAGTGAATGCAAAATCTAAGCACACCTGAAGGCACAGGTGCATAGGAAGAGGGTGTAACAAGAAATCTATCCACAGTCTGTCTGAACCGAAATGTTACATCAATAAATCCTTGACTGAGGGCGATAAAGTGTGAAGGAACCTTTCTTTGAATCTTGGATACATTCCACATCCCAAAATAAATAAAAGCATACGATTAACACAGAAATTCCCCATCCTCAAGTTTTCCTCTGCTCTGCTCAGGTATGCTCACATACGCCTGATGGAGAAACTGTGTTGTTATTTTAACAAATTAATAACCATTCCACATTCATGGTGACTCGCCCGAGCGTCGCCCTCCATGGACGTACCCTCCGCCGTTCACCTTTAAAATACAGAACAACTCTAATTGTCTGTTCTGTTCCGGTCTGCTTGGCTCAGCTTAGAAATCTCAGACTTTAAAGAACTTGGAGCAGAGCTTGATGCTATTACCGCGGATACAGTTGGCGCTGCTTTTTACAAAGCCGTTCTGAACCTGACCTGACACGGACAGGAGGATGTGGCATCTGATATTGTATCATATTGGCACCAGTGAATCCTCAATGCTGTATTGGTATCATATTGGAGATCAAAAAGGTATCAGAGACATCCATGAAACCATCATCTCCATAAAGGTGGTAGCAGGATCATGCCATGTGGATTATTTAATTTAGTTGGGCTGAGTTGACGGAAAGTTGTATTGAGAAATATCCAGGACAATCCTGGAAGAAAAGCTGTCAAAGAATGCAGAAGATTTTAGATCAGAGTGGAGGTTCCCTATTCAGTGGGACTATTAATTGTAAACATACAGCGAGTGCTACACTGAAATACTTTAGCTTAGTTCTGTCCAACTCAAGTCACTAAAGGGGAATGTCTCTCATGTTCCAACTCCAACACAGCTGATCCTAATGGTTGAATGACCTCCCCAACATGTCCTCAAGCTTTGCAGGAACCTGCTGAGTTTGTGTTTTTTTGATTTGGCGAAATAGAAAAAAAGGGTTAAGTTGATTATGGGTACACTTCTTTCATAAAAAATACTAGCCCAAACTTCCTAACTGAACGTCCTATGTGTGAAAAAAAACAAACCAAAAAAAAAAAAAAAAAACAAGCAAAGTATCACTTTTTTTTCTGAAGTTGCAGACCTCAGTTTCACCTTGACATTATTGATTTTATCCTAACCTGTCAGCATTTTCTGAGTTAAACCAAAACAAGTAATCAGAACCTGCAAACCATTTAATAAAGCAATTCTCTACATTCTAAAACAAAGACCAACAGCTGTCACTCTAGTCTATGCATGGAGCTTTGGACCAGAAAATTGTTACAAGAGGGAAAATGTTTCACTTTGTGCAAATTTTTAATCATCTGCTTTAATCAGCATTGTTCTCATTTTGTCACATGCTCGTCAGATTTTTCCACATGAATAGTCAGAGAGATGCAGGATTATCCTGATGGTTATGAGTCAACTCAAACTACACTTAAAAGAAAAAGCTTCCAACTCTGGTAATTACTCTGGTTTCTCAAAGGAAAAATATAGAAGTGGATAATTTGTGTAGAGAACCTATCAAAATATTTCATTTTTTTTTTCTTTTTTCAGTTGAATTAGTATTTAAGTTTTAAAAGTGCTTCATTTCTCTCAGTTTTTTCCCACCATAGTAAATAAGCATTTCTTGACAAAATTAATAAACAACAAATACAGTAGAACAGGTGTTTGATTAAATAATCTCCATTGTATACAGTGTAATTCTTTTTCCATTAGGAGGTCCTGACAGAACTCAAAGCATAAAAACAATTAGAAAAAAATGCTCACTTTTTCTCCAAAGCAAACCACCCCAAATTATCCCTAAAAGCAAAATCAAGAGGTTAAGGTTGAATGGAAAACCAAATGACTTTACATGTTTGTGCAAGTCATGTTGACATGTTAGTTTTAAAGCCAAACCCCAATTCTAGAATTGGAGTTTAAGAACTGCTCAGTGAATTACAAACAGCCCTTTTTCACCTAATTTTGGATTCTGCTCAGTTTCTGTCTGTGTTTGTTGTAATCTGGTGAAGAGTCGGACTTAATGAGAGCAACTTTTTTTCCTCATGACGCGCTTGTTCAGCTGTAATTGTCTCTCTGTGGTATCATCTTACCCGTGAAAATAAGAGCTAATCGAGGGCTATGAAAAACATTTGGCACCTCATTATTCGTGTACTAATAAAATCCTAATGACAGCAGATCATAAATAAATGAATAAATACATGGAGAATTGAAGTGAAACTAATTGTCCTGATCTGCTTGAGCTATTTTGCTGCAGTCTGTTAAAACCAGTTAAATTCAATTTACTCCAGCAGGAGGTTTCATATTCTCCAATCATCATAACACACTGTTTAAATCTCTGCAGGCACAATCCCTATTTGTCAGAGCACTCTGTGACAATGCAACACATGGACAGCTAAAGAACTGCACTCCAAACAGTCATAATGTGTGACATAGCAACTACACTCAGTCATCTCAGAGCAGCTGATGAATCAGAGCATGCACCTCCTTGCCTCTCTTTGCCTTACCGTTTAGGAGCTTTTCGCCTCATTTTCAGCAGATAAGATCACAAGTCATGTGTCTGTGGTTCCCCCCTCAGAATATAAGGCATTTAGAAAAAGACTCCCTTAATTCTGACTGGAGACAGGCTAGTAGGAAGGAAGGGAGGGAGGGAGGTGAGGAGAAAATGAGAGAGGTAGAGCTGCGAATTGAATGGGAGAGGAGGAGTTCTGGGAGTGATGGGGAGAAGGAGGGAGAAAAGGAGGCGAGGTTTGGTGGAGGAAAAAAGTAAAAGTGTCTTACCTTGTGTCGTGCCGCATCTCTCCATCAGATTCCTGGTAGGAGGAGAAGAAAGCAGGGTGAAATGATTACATGCATTTATCAAGCAGATTTATCTGACACTGCTGCTGAGCACCTCTTATCTGCTGTTTAAAGGGGCTCTCAGAGCGGCTATGCCTCAGCAAACAAATATATCTATTATTTTGTGTTATGTCAGTAGTGAGATCATTGTAGGGAAGAGGGAGGGGAACAGAGCAGAAGAGAGACATATTTACACTGCAAAAGGAAGTACTGTACTGCAGATGTGGAGAGAAAGTACCCAAAGGTGATGGTTTATTTACTTGTTGGAAACACAGTAGAGGAGCAGAACATATTTGTGAACAAAAAACAAAAACAAAGAAATTAAAAAGGGAAAGGATAAAGCATTGTAACTCTCTGTGGAATAACTTAGGTTAAAAACCAAATATAAACAACATCACCACAGCATAAATATGTGAAAATATGTTGTGCTGACTTTTAATTCTCTTTACATGGGGGCAAACAAATATTTTTTGTTTTGCACATTATACTTGGATTATGTTTGAAAAGGGGATTTTAAGAGAGGATACAACCATTTAGGTTTTTACACTGGCTAAATTATTTGCTCCAGAACCAATTATCCACTTTGATTTCCGGTCTAGAATTAACCAAGCAGAGGCAGATTGTAGTCATGGTGATACAACTCACCATGTTCTAAAGATTCTTTTTATTATTTGCAATAAAAGATTCCCCTTTGAGTGATTCTTTAATGTCTGGGTTGTGGTGCAGGAGCTTGGTGTGCCTGCAGCTGTTTGTGTACTTCAGTGTTGTGCAAAGCCCCAGCCTGCCTGAGGGTTTAATGTAGAAGAATCAGTAAGGTGTATGAATAAATGTCACAGGTACGCAGCGGGAACTCAGTTCATGAGAGCGCAGAGAGAGTTAGTGAGCATGTGTAGCTGGATTTTACAGCCGGTCCGGTGTGGGTGTTTCAAACATAGTGAATGATACAGCAGGATGACTCATACAGATACTGAATGAGACAGCACAGAGTAATCCCCTACATCCATCCTTCCATCTCAGCTTCCCTCTCTGCAGAGGGCAAGCCTGGAGAGAAGAGGGAGGAGCGGTGGATTGACACTCCTCGGAGGCGTAAACTATGATCACAAGTTTTTACTTATTTACTTTTAGAAAAAATCAGATTCATCTCCTAAGAATACTTTCTTTGCTTAATTTAAAAGGGGAAAAGATAACAATAAATTCAAAAAAACGGGCTTAGAAAGTTTTTGCCAGTTCAGTTGCAGACTGCATGCAGCCCCGCATACAACATGGAGCCAGTAGTGGCAACAGATTGGAGTGCTGCCAAGCATTTTTTTTTTATTTATTTTTACTTTTCTACTTGTTAGAGAGTGGCTGTCAACTCTTGTTGTTGGTTTGTCCTCTAAAGCTTCCCATTGCAATTAAAAATGTTAGAATTTAACATTTTTCAGGTCAATTTTTCAGGTAACTCAGTTGTTTCAACATGACTACCGTAATCAAAATCTTAATTAAAAATATTATTCTCCAGCACACATTTTGTGGAATTTATGTGACAGACCAAAAAGGTGCTACGAAAAAGTGTGGGTAAAAGTATTTGATTTGCTGCTGATTTACTTGTTTACAAAACAGCCCAGAACCTGAAACGTACATTTTTTTTTATTATTTCAGATTTATATATATAAAAAGATTACCGGTAGAAGATGATATTCTTTTATAATTCTGGGTCAGTTTCTGATTTGGGGATAGTAATTAAAATTTGATTATATTCCAAGTTTATATTTGAACTTTTGGACTGCTAGGTTCTCACAGTAAAGCACAAAGGAGGATGTATCATAGTTTGAAGATGCTTTGCTGATGAGAAAACCAACTGTAACAAAAATCGTCAACAACCGTTGACGATTTTTGTACATTCTCTTGAATCAGGTTTGGATTAAATGGGAATATACATTGGTTTTCAAAAGAAAATGGGACTAAAACACCCTGGCAGGGGCTATTCAAAAACAGAACAGAAATTTTTAAGTTGGGCTTCAGATACAAATTCCTTTCTCAAGGTGATTTAACAGGAAAAGGAGCTCAGGAGCTTCTGAACTCAAATTAGCCTCTGTGATTGGATGCCCTCTGGACAGGAGGTGGCAAACAAAAGGACCCTAAATAAATTAATATCTCTGTTTGATACTGTCTCCCACCCTGTGCATTTTATCACAGATCCTTCCTCCCAGCAGCTGTAAGACTCTAAAACCACCACTGTTCCCAACAACCTCAATAAGCTGTTACATTCATTCTGATTTTGCAAAGTTACTACCTTAGTTAATAAAATAACATGCGGCTGCCATTTTGCACATCTCTGATGTTGCTGCTATTTTCAAATATCCATTACTGTAAAAATGCCCACAGCTGTATATTGGCTATTTATTCTCCAGGTGCACGGTTTTTATATTCTTGAAACACTTTACAGTAGAGTATTTTGTTATCTTTTAACTCTTCACTGTTATGTTGTTCTTACAGTATACACTTTTCTAAGGTCCATATTTGTGTGACCTTTTTTATATAATCTTTTTGCTGCTGTAAACACCAGAATTTCCCCGTTGTGGGACAATAAAGAGACTTTCTATTCTATTCTAAGATAAGATATATCAAATTATTAGTTGTTTTAAATTCTAAATAAATACTAACTTTTTATATTCTGTTTGTTTTATAAATATATTGTTAGAATATTAAAATTAGAATAAATTTTCGATATCTGTTACATATCATGACATTACTTGAGTGTTTGCTAGAACACTTCTGATTGGTTAATAAGCCTTTCATGACTTATCCCTGAAAGCTCCTTCTGTCAAAAACTCTGGTCTTCCTGGAGCGTTTTTTCTAATAAAAAGGAGAAAAATCATGCAAAAGTTTATTCTGCTTTTATTGCACATGAAAAGGAAGGAACTGCAAGGATATCTAATGAACGGAACAATTAAAACAGGGTCTGCAGCCTTTAAAGTCCATCAGTCTACCTGATTGAAAGGTTTTTAGAGTCGCAAATATCGAATATTGTTAACAAAAATAGTTAAAAAGTTAATAAACAAACCACAGAGTTTTGTCGTTTGAAGACGTTTTCACTTCTCATCAAGCAGGCATTTTCAATGTCTGGTTTAGAGTTGAGTTCCAAGCTCTATATAGTGGCCCAACAAACCCTTGTTATGGCTTAGAAAACATGCAAACTCAACCAAAAGAACAGGTCCACCCCTTAGTAATTTGGATTCATTGAGGTCATTGTTTGCCTGCAATACCCGATACTGGCATATGCCTCTCAAAAGGTAGTCATTAGGGTCACTGTTGGCCTGGCTGAACAGGCGAGATGTTTTGGTCCCCTGTATATCACATGGTCAGCCAGGCCAACAATGACCCTTAAGACTCCCTTTTGAGAGGCATATGCCGGTTTACATGGCAGACTTGCTGCTGCTGGGAGGGAAATTTAGTCCACTGGACTCAAAAAAGTTGTTGATTTAAACTGTAATATTTGAGGGAAAAGAAGAATTCAGATTAATAATATTAATAATAATATTGATATATGATAGAAAGCTATCCAAATGACCAAATGAATTACTAGAGTGGAAGAAAAAGTTGCCAGCATGTGCTAAATATACAGTTTTTGGAAAATTTTAATATCCCCTAAAACCAACAGGGAAATTATTTTATACACAAGCTTAAAAGTCAGAAAGATGACTTTCGAAAAGGGTTCTTTTGATTCATTTTAACAGTTAAAAATCTGTAAGTAGATCATATGATCCTGATATCAGTGTTTGCAAGATTTGAGGCGGATCTGCTTGATAGGATCAATACAATACAAAGTGTAGTGTACAATTTATAAGGTGAATAAAGGCTTTTTGTACAGATTAGTGAATGCAGACTTAATTAATGTCAACATGATGGCTACCCAATCATGAGAAATCCAGATACAAAATTAAACAAAAGATTGTAATTAAAGGCAAGTGGAACAAACATAAAGACATAAAGACAGTTATAGACAGTGGAAGACCTTGACCACTTCTTCTCGAACCAACTGATCGATTCATGAATGTATTTTTCTACTTACAGTGACATTCACAGGTCTAGGCAGTGATGTAGACCTGTAGGAGACTCTAGGAAATCCTTCTGGCCAGCTGAAAACAGGACAGGGTTTATCCCATCCACTCTCAGCCACATGGCATGGACGTGGTTCGTTACTTGGAAATTCCACTTTCTTCTCCTTTTCTCTCCCTCTTTCAGCCCTTTTGTTTTGCTCCCAAGTCTTTTCTGTTTTTGCACCATTTTGTCTGACTTTTTCTCCTCTGTCTCTCTCCCATGAGAAATCTTTTCTTTTCTCTCTGTCCTTTCTTCCTTTCTCCGTTACCAATCCTCCATTTCTCTCCCATGGAATATGTTTTCCTCTCTTTTTTTCTCTCTCCAAACTCCCCCTCCCAAGGGTGCCATTAGCGACCAGTTCATCAAGCCTCCTTACTCTGTCAATATCTGTCTCGAGATAAAACCTCCCTGTAGTTGGCTGCGTCTGGATCTTTGTACATAACTTTACGTGGTGATCTGGGTTGGAGTGACTCTCACTCTTTAATTTCCTCAATGCCTCTTCAGAGTCCAAGATCTTGCAGCTGGGTACTGTCTTGCTCCACTGGTGGATAGAGTTCTTTAGATCCTTGGAATTGCATTCCCTGATTGTCTGAAGGTTAGAGCTGGTAGGGCTGTACCACAAGTTTGTGGCTGATGTAGATAATGGTAGAGGATTCATTGGATCAGGATAAAGTGGTAACCAAGCTAGTCTTGTTGGTAGA